ACACACACACACACACACACACACACACACACAGTGAAACTCCTCTACAACGAAACCTACATGGGCGAAAATATCCCCTAGTGTGACAAAAATCTTCATGCATTAACACCATTCCCATTCTCCTGCCCCCCATACAACGAAAAAAAAACCCTGTTGCGTTATACGAAATGTTTTTCTCTGCTCTTGGCTCGTGAAGAGATTCACTTCGAAGTCTAATCCAACAGCGACCTCTACTGCTTCGTTTGGAAACGGCAACAGCAACCACCACACTGGTTTATGTAGTGAAGGATTTTTATTTCGCTCACAGCTCCGAGTTTCCTGAACACAACATACTCATAGCTGCTCTGCCATTGGCTTACCGAGCATCATCCTGGCCTCCGATTGGCCAAGAGGGACCTCACTATCTGCGTGTGTAGATACTGTAGCTAGATCCGCAGGATAGATCCTGCTCAGAGTAAATTGCTTATGGCTCGACGGAGAGCCAAATAAACGAACGTTTCCTGGAATGCTTTACTTGTTATCATGTTAAAAACCTTACGCAAACTGGAGTGTCAATTAGAGAGAAGGCGAGTTCCATCTCACTCACTATGGCCATCGAGGACTACGAAGCGCCCCGTGGCTGGCTTTAAAAGTTCATTGCATGACATCAGCTGAGCAATGCTGTCTTGGGTGGCGATCGAGGGGAGGTCGAGTTAGAGACGGTGAGATAGTGGAAAGAAAAGCCACCGGGGTCCAGGAAGTATTTGTTGTTAGATTCAGACGCAGCATGAACGTTGCATAGCTAAAATGGCTACAAAACGGAGATTTGGATGTTAAGCAGCTAAGACAAGAAGCGCTCTGACGCTGGAAGAGATGGTAAAAGTGATCAAAATGAAAGACGGAGGAAGCAAAATAAAATACATTATCCAAGAAATTGATGTAAGTGAAAGTGAATGCTGATCATAAATTTCGCAATTTCTTTCCCTTTTTTTCTTTCTACACTGACTATATGAAGTGTCAAATAAGTGTGTGCTCATACTTATGTACTATTGGAATAAAAATAGAGTACACAAACGTTTGTGTGTGCGTGTACACATACGTTTGTGTGTGTGGGTGTGTGTGTGCTTACATCTGAGATCAAATTTGCTCGTGAAAAACCCCCTGTTGTGAAAAATTTCTTGCTGCAAACATGATTTCGTTGTAGAGGAGTTTCACTGTAGTTCCGTTAACATATCACAACATGGACGCATAGCTACATACCTAAAGACCTCCATCGGAGCCAGTGCAGTTGCCAGTATGTCAGAGATGCCATGAAAACTGGTGATTGTGCTGAGGGAGATGGTTAAAATCCATGAAAATCTTAATAGTACATCCTCCACAATGGCACTGTAGTAATAGGCCTACAGAAACACACAGACCATGAAAACATGAACACAGGAAAAGTTACTGCATCAACAAACTGAAGTAAGGTGCTCAATGTCCAAAGACAGAAAGAATTATATAGTTGTGAATATACCTTGTGTGGGTAGACTATCTCCTCCCTCAAAAAGGTATTTTCTCCAGCATTCCGGTCAAAAAGGCCCCAGTCCATCTTCAGATCCCAGACTAGTGTGTAAAATGAGCTGACCACCAAACATGTGACATACAAGTAAAAGAAGATCTTGGCATCATCATATGATTGAGCTGAGGAAGCAGGACAAACAAAAGTAGTCTGTCAGATTGTCAGAAAGCACACATGCATATTTTTGTTATGTGAAGACCAAGATTCAGTAAGCAAGGTTAGATTTTAGCATTGAATCTCTCTCTTTTTATATTAATTCATTTCAGGAAACAAATAAATCATCGAGTTAATTGACTTCTTTTTAGCTTTACAAAAATAGTCAATGTATCACTTCAGCTAAAAATCAAAATATACATCATCATAATTAAACGAAAATTATGATTACTGGTTTATCGCTGTGAGCCAACAGATAACCTTTACTTGCATTTACAAGCCCAATCTTAAAGAAGCCCCTGCTTCAAAACTAAGAACCTTCAAGCTCGACTATAATTTGCAGCTGCCTACATGAAAAAGCCTAATGACTCCTGGACAAATGTCTAACGGTCGGACGAGACACAGGATTGAATTATTGGACATGGCTATCGTGTTGGTGGCAACATCATAGTCTGGGGCTGTTTAGCTGCCAGTGGTGTGGCGCACTGCACTCCAAGTGAACAGAATAATAAGGGGGAGGAGGACTGCCTCATATTTCCTCAAGTTCACCTCAAATCAACTGCTAATCAGCCAAGACAAGGATCACAAACACATCAAAACTAGCTCAGATAAAACCCTTTCAAAAATATGCATTACAGAGCCCTGACTTCAATTCGATTGAATATGTGGGCCTCACGAAAAGTCAGTGCCAGGAAACCAATCTATTTGATTTAACTCTACCATTTCTACCATGAAGAGTAGTCCATTATCCTGGCAGAATTATGTGAGAAGCTATTTGATGAATTTGGTGAATGTATAGTCAATTCCCTCCAAAATATTACAACCCAAATAGTTTTCGACCAACTTCCCATTCATGAAGGCATTATTAAAGAGTAAACACTTGGATGATAAAACATTTATTGCTCAGTCATTGCTTTCTGGTCTTCGCAGCTGCGACGTAATGCATGTTGTAACATAGGACTGTTCATTTTTGACTTGTTTCCTGGCCTATTTTGCGATGAAAATGCAGTGCGGCGTTGTCAAGTATTGCTATAATTTAGATAGCACTCCTGTCATTTTAAGAAAATAAAGAAAAACATTTATAGCAGCAGTGGCTTGCGAATAATGCAGCCAGCCTCCAAGTTATCCATTAATTTATTGTTGTATTTGCTGCTGTATGAATTATTATTGCTTCACGTACAGTTTTTTTAGATACAGCAGTGGTTGTTTTAAAGTGCTCTATGAATACAATTTATGAGTTAAACTATGACAATACTTAAAGACACCAAACAGCATTTTATAGCAATACAGACCAAGAAACAAGTAACAAATGAAGAGTGCCATGTTACGTCAGTGATTACCCGAACTGCTCAAAACTGGTCAAAACCGCACTGCTCAAGGTATATCATTATGATCGACTTAAACTTTTTTCCAGTGACTGAGATGCCATTGATATTTGCACTATTTATATTAAAATACAAACTGCCTGATCGAATGAAGGACAATGAATTTTCAGTGGTACAGTATGTTGCTGAAGGTTGCATCTGATTGATCAAAGTGACCGAAAAGCATAGAATTCCATAATTACAGTGGTACCTCTACTTACAAGCGTCTCTTCATGCAAAATGTTTAAGTTATGAAACACCTCAACAGGAAAATATTGCCTCTTGTTACGAAATTAATTTCAAGTTACGAAAGGTAAAAATACAGTATGGGCTGCCACTTGCAGCTCCAAGTTTCCTGGGAGCAACATACTTATAACTGCTCTGCCATTGGCTATTACCGAGCATTATTCTGGCATCTCATTGGCTAAGAGTGATCTCTACCGAATGTGTCTGCGTGTAGATAGATAGATAGACATGTGTCTATGCAGCGTCCTCGTCATTCGCCCCTCTGGCCATGAGGTGTTCCTGCTGGTTTTACATATATGTGAATCACCCAGAAAAAGTGTTCACCAGTCGGGCGATCGCTCACTATGCTGATGTTTGCCTCGGACATTTTTGAAGGGTTGTTAAAAGTCGACAAAAGCAAACATCCTTGAATCATTTCTTTCCAAAACGCCAGGCAACTAAAGAAGGCAAAAAACGATGCGGACGCAGTTAAAAGTTAAATGACCATCATTTTTATTCTTTATTCTTTGTTTTTTACATTATGCACATCTCTCATTTATTGTGCAATAATGTAATTGTAACATGTATTTGTTACATAGTTGGATGCAATTTTATGCTTTATAAAACATTCATGTCTGAATTTTGGGGGACTTGGAACGGATTAGGGCATTTACATGGAAAGCGCGTCTCTACGTACAAAATTTTCTAGTTAAGAATTTTCTTCCAGACCAGAACACATTCATTTCGTAAGTAGAGGTACCACTGTACTAATTTATCGTGCGTCTGCGATATACATATTTCATGTCCCATTGTCGTGATGCTGATTTTTTTTTTTATACGTATATTGTGCAGCCCCAGCCCTTGAACCATCCGGATTTCTTTTCAGGTTGCAACAAAAACCAGGTAAAAAAAGTATACAGAAGGCTGATGAAACGGTACTCATGTGTAAGCAGTGGTTGGTCTCCTACTGTTTATTGTCCACATCAACCTATGTGAAACTGTCTACTAAGTATACCTTTATGTGTGCTGTAAAGGGCAGCAAAGGTTACAACAAAGAAGGAAGTGGAGTATTTCCCAGCATTAACCAGGTGAGGGAAGGCCCTTTTCGTGTCCCGGTAACGACGAAGACACTGGATGAATCTGAACCAAGCAGGAAGACAGTGAACCACTGCACGGATGCCATAGGAGTAGGTATTACACACATCGTTACCTGAGCAGGATGACATTTGAATCCTGTTACAATAAGATTTGATTGCTTACAGATATTTGATTGCTATACAATTTCATTATTTTATTGCAACTGAAAGAGCGGTCCCACCTTCACTGTTGATGAGTCCATCGTGTTTTCTCCAGTCAAGTTCAAAACTGTAAAAACAGATCATATACTCTATATCTAACAAAACAACTCCCAAAGAGTTCAACTGGTCAGCCAACCAGAAGTCAGCAAAGCCAACACGATGGAATGGTGCAGTCATTACCCGAAACTGTGGAAGAAAATATGGATTTTTTTCATTATATATTCTTGTTATTTCAAACCAATGAGCACAACAAAATCCAAGTTACACAAATCTAAACTTTCATTTTTGTTTTGTTTTCCTTTACATTAAACATTTGCAGATTGTCAATATGAGTGACGTTACCAGAAGTTTGAGAAGCCAGAAGCGTGACTTGTAGTAACAGGTCTTGAATGGGTTGATAAGAAAGACAATGAAGAAGCCATAAAGAGCCAAAGGATTGGCCTGCATCGGTACTGGAATGCTGTCACTAAACAGACATGACAGCAGGCTGACACACCACAACACCCCCAAAAGGCCTGCAATCTAAGGACAAAAAGACCAAATCAGCCAAAGAAACTAGTGTCACAGTTATAGTTACACACACGCATGCATGCACAAACATACATGCATAATACATATTGTTGCTGTCCAGTGAAAAACACTTATGTCCATTTTTGTTATTTTAAAAAAAAAAAAAAAAACATTTAGTGAATGGGCTATCTGCGTTTCGGACATCCCATTCCTAAGTGTTCCTACACTTAGGAACACTACAGAAAACCAAAGTCAATGAGCATAAGTGCAACTAAAAACTACTCTGCAAACCAAAAACATTTATCAACAATATTCAGAAACGCCGCCATTTTATTTGGGCCCAAGCTCATCTCGGATGGACTGAAGCAAAGTGGAAAAGTGTTTTGTGGTCTAACAAGTCCACATTTCAAATTGGTTTGCTTTTTAAACAGCACAATAAACCAGTAAAATAGGAATTATTTTGCCAAGCATGATGGTGTATGCCAAGTTTCCTCCGTCATCATGAATGTTAAGACCATCAAAATCAGCGTCATTTTTCTTAGCAAACAGGGTGTTGCCACGGCAACAATGTTGGACAAAATAAAAAGCTTTTACTTTATGTTTTGTATATTTTTAGATGGTAGTCGCTGATGGTGTAGTGTAGGGGTCGGCAACTCAAAATGTTGAAAGAGCCATACTGGACCAAAGAAAAAACAAAAAACAAATATGTCTGGAGCCGCAAAAAATTAAAAGCCTTATAATGAAGGAAACACATGCTGTATGTAGTTATATTATCTATATTAGCCCACAATCAAAATGACTAAGTTGGCTACAAATATACAATGAGCCTTCATGATTAAATGTTTTTTTTTTCCCTGCAGTGCATCCTGTCGAGCGGGGGTGCCCAACCTTTTGTGACCAAAGATCCACTTTTCCATTAACCAGCCTCCCGAGATCGACCCATTACCGCACGCACGCACGCACGCGCACACACACGCACACACGCACACACACACACACACACACACACACACACACACACACACACACACACACACACCGAGGCATGGGACATTTTTGCAGCGTGTTTACTATCATTGCTCACGTGTACCGTTTAAAAATGCTCCTCTCTGCCCTCCAGATTCCCATTCTCTGCCAGTACCCTCGGTGAATTGCACATGAAACACCGTTTGTTTTTTTTTAAATTACAGCCACCTGTCTGGTACCCCACCCTGCTAATAGAAACGTGTGTCGCAGGCTGTGACGCAAATCTTCGTTGACAGAAATGTTGAAATTTAATATTTATTCTACACATTTTTACAGCATTGGAAAACGTTAAGAATGTTTGTGCCATGTTTGTCCTCCTACAGAAACCATATTAAAATACATTTCCCTCTCCCATCTTTTTCCATTTTCAAACATTTTTGAAAGAGCTCCAGGGAGCCACTAGGGCGGCGCTAAAGAGAGGCTCCGGAGCCGCAGGTTGTCGACCCCCGGTGTAGTGGTACACTCGCCTCACATGTGTGTGGGCAGAATGGGATCGGTTCCCAATCTGTGACGATGTGCATGCGGGTTTGAATTGTGTGTTCTGGTAAGAATATTCTAAAGAGAATGATTTCCAATGACACCTGAAGATGACTTATCCAGTGGTCACCCAGGTTGGGTTTGGGTAAATTTAGCATTTCGTACAAGTGAGATACTTGGATTTCTACTCAACTTGCGCATGCAAGCAAAGCAATTGCAGACCTTAAAGTATCCAGTCTGTTGGTCATAAGAGAGACCTTTGAGCTTGAAGAGGGGGGGCTAGGAGACAATGACCAAATTGAGTATTACTGTACAAATTTTCCTCCGACCAACTGGGACATGTTCTGAGGCGGGCAGCTATGGGGATTTCTGCTTCAACCAACCGGGCTGGGTTCTGATGAGGATCCACATCTCTGAAGGCATCGTCCTGCGGCGCTTCAGTTTATTCAGTGGACACTCATGCTAAATTGCGGTTAACATTTAATAGTATCACATTTTGTGTAAATTGCTGCCCACTGGGCAATGACGTAATCCTGGAAGGGGGATCATCCTCCCCAATTTTGTGGCCCCTTCCCATTGTTTCTTATTACTTATTTCACCCGACAGAAGGGGGTGTGGTTAATATTTGTCGACTGACTCTTTTTTTTTCATTAAAGGCTACTGTATGTAAATAAATTTGACTTGACAAGAAGATACATTCAGCACCACCCCTCCCGACATGCATGCTAAAATAAAACTGTGAAGTTATATTTCATCACAGCATCGGTTTATTCTCTTTACTTGACGTGCCATACCATGGCGCATCATCCGCTGTGAAACAATCGGTACTACTGTATGTTTTCAATACAATCAATCAATATTCTGCATTTTACTTATACTCAAGGTTATTGAGACATTTATCATACACGTGTGCTTGTTCAAACCTCAAACAGATGTTGATGGGAGAGGTTATTTCTGGGATTGAGTTCAAATATAAGCACATGGTTGACTCCTGCTTGCCTCCAGCCATAGGTGTTAATACCTAGAACATAATTAAGAAACAAGAAAATGCATGTGAGAAGACTCAAGGATACCCACTGATGTATCTTACTAGCAATATGCCTATGAGGCTTCTGTCTCCGTGAAATCAGTCTACATCTAACGCCCACACATTCTCCATTCAATGCATGTATAGAGTGACTCGTTTTAGACACAGATTGATGCGATATGTAAAAACTAGAGCTGTCAGTTTAGCGCGTTTTTATTGGCATTCATTTAAATGAATTTTAACGGGATTAAATTTTTTCTCGCGAGATTAACGCGGCACATGTCACAGCGGATGTTACGTTGCTCTATAAATAAACCAGAAACAAAACAACAAGTGCGCTGCATAGGTCCACTCACGTTTGTTTTGCCAGCCACGGCAGCGCGAGACACCGAAAACGGATACTTAAAGAGTTTATGAATGGAAAGTTTACTTTTAAAAAGTTGCCAGATTGCTCCACTGACAAGATCAAAGTTACCTGTATGTTTTGCAGACGTAAACTGAGCTATCATCATTGCACATCGAGTCCGAAATACCACTTAATGGCCAAGTACACAGCTGATGTGAGTACTCCGCCCCCTCGTCTCAGACAGACAGCTATGGATCATTTCAAAGCGAAGAAAATGGATGACACGACGAAGAACAAATTTGCTGAAGCCATAGCTAAATGAATGGATACTGCATGCAAGCCTGTCAACATTGTCCACAGCTCGACTCAAGATGAAATCATTCGCATTGGATCTAACGACTCCACTACAGATTGCCAGCGAGAGCCTCCATTACAAGCTGCGTAGAGATTGTACGTAGCGGAGGAGGCTAAGGTATACCAAGCGGGAGAAGACACTGTTTCGGGAGAAAAATAAGAGACTAGGTTGATGAGCCTCTGGTGAATAAAGAGCAGG